TTTTTTTTCAAATATATAGCATAAGTGTGATGTAATTTTTCTTTGGGGTAGGATTGGAACTACTTGTTAGTTAGGGATACATGTCTTGTCTCAACTAATAAAATTATGGTGAAGTGATTTTTTCTWCATATGTTTTGTGTTACATTTGAAAATATATATTTATTTTGGATTGTTTAACTATAATTTAGAGTGTTTTGCTATATTTGAAAATATATATATTTATTTGTCAATTACTTACCTCAATTGGTTAAAACATATATTCTAGACYAAAAAAATTGGAGGTTTAAATTTTCGTGCATGTCTCAAGTACATGTGGTTGAACTCATAGAAAAAGAATCTATATATTTATCGTATGTTATATTTATGTAATTGCCTCAAAATCAAAAGTACGTTAGAAAAATAAATAATTTGAATGCTAAAATTATATAATCATTTTATTTGTTATCTTGTTGACAAAATACAAGCTATTTCATAGTGATAATCTAACAAAAAAATTTTTTTTTGACATTGAGTTAATTTGTAAGTACTGTGATTTTCCTTCTAAGCTAGATATGATCATTATCTCTAATATGCTTTGCTAAAATTATTTAGTTATGCCTATATCCTATCGTTTGTAAATTTAAAGGTAAAAATAAAATAATTTGCATGCACACCTCAATTTTTGGTTAAACTGCAAATTTAGTGTCCAGGTAATTTGAGTTTCAAAAATTCCAATTTAGTCATTACGATTTAAATTACGTTTCAATTTTATCCTATATACTATGTGTTATTTTTTTTTCAAAATGAGGAAAAAGAAATTAGATGAAATTGAAAGAGGGGAATTATTTAACAAAATAGCTTGGTTTGGTGCAGGGATGGCGCCGATGGTTGCAGAGGCGAGGGTTTGTGAAACTCCGAGCCACAACTTTAAGGGGCCGTGCTTTAGTGGGACGAACTGCGCCAATGTGTGCAAGACAGAGAGCTTCCACGGCGGCCACTGCAGGGGCTTCCGCCGCCGGTGCTTCTGCACAAAGCACTGCGTTTGAAATTCAATAATCATCAATCCATCCTGATGAACACCGATTGTCTATCTGTAAAAGTAAAAACACTACTTGAAAAGTACTTCTTGGAGCATTTCAGAATAAAGTGGCCATCTTTGGCCCATTGTTACTTTTTAGTTCTGCCTTAATGTTTGTGTTTGTGTTAGCTTGGATTTTATGCAATAATAATAAATTATGTATTCCTAGATGGTGTATTTTCTTACTTTACGGTCTCTTTAGAAATTCGGATTCTGTTTTTTATTTGTATTGAATATGCTTTTGGTAGGTTTTGACAGATTCGTTTTTTAAAATTGTTTTCGAATTATGTGATYCAAACTGTAGAAATTCTGAAAACGATTTTTTTTTATTGTTTTTCAGTGCTTTCAAACACAAAATTTGAAATTTTTAAGATGCGAAATTACATTAAAAATGATTTAAAAACGTTGATAAATATATTATTTCATATTATAAACTCACTYTGTGTTTATTAAAATTAAAACATCTARAATATAATGTATTTTAAATTATATAATCTTGTAAAAAAATAATATACACAAATTTATTAAAAAAAAWWAATTAATTAATTAATATAAGTTTAGATTAAACTAAATATGTAGTTGGTAACTATTTCTTAAGTGATGTTAGCTAGTTTAATTTGTTCTATAATTTCTCAAAGTTAAATGAAGTAACTAATTTCTTTTGAAACACTTCCGAGACGAARGGGACTAAACAGGAACAAGAGGGATCCACCGAAGAAGATGAAATACGGGAAAACTCCATTCAATTCTCGATATTGGAATTAGAGTTTTGCTCCTAACCCTTTCTTCGTGCTTGTTTCARGAAGCACTTCGACCACTGGGATTGACAAGTCTCGAACAGGCGCATATTGGTTGGGTATGCTCTTTCCATAGGCGCTAGACCTTTTTTTCAAAATCTGTCCCCTTCAGAAAACGCATTGGCTTTCACTCGACGATTCCAAGAGAGCCCTATGAGAATTTAGAAATACGATGTTTTGATCGGGCTTCTCGAGTGATCGATTAGAAAGGTTTAAGCAAACCTTCGTTACTCCTATAAGCACACCTTYGTTAGTTAAGGCATATAACTCCGACCAAGCTAAGAGGTTGAAGATTCGAATTTCTACTTGTTTTTTTTTATTGTGTGAGCTTGGATTTTCATGCACGAGGTACTAGACTCCACACATGTCCGTTCACTTTAGTGTTGGAAAAAAACATATAAAACACCTAAGAGCTAGGATCTAATTAGTTTTTTCATTTCCACGTAATAAAGTAAGTCACAATTTAAACAAACAATAAAGGAGATATGAAGGTTTGAAAGAAAAACGAACSCCAGAAATTATATTGGTTCACCTCAAGTTTAGAACTATGTTCAGTCTTCTGCAATATGCATGGTTCTTACTATGTTGARAAGATTACAATGAACTTTACAATGCTTTATACAAACACTCTCTCTAGAGRCTACAACAATAGTTACCTAACTTCTAAACTTTACAATAATAACTAACTTGGATACGACGATACTCACGAGAACGGATTGCAAATAACATTCCACAAGCCAAGATCTAGTTTCTTCTTCTTTTTCGAAATATTGCCGCAACCTGTTTTTGCTTCTATTTTTAATCTCTCGGTTGAAGACTAACCTGTTTCCTTTTTGTCTCCACTCCCCAACAGTTAGAAATTCTAACCTAAAATTTGGCCTACCTATTAAAATATTAAAATATAATTACTGTACYAGTCTAGCTATAAGGACCCAATTAAAATGATCCATGGCTAACTGAATTCACCAATGACTCTCATTAATATTTATTAACTTTGGTTAGGCTTAACCCGTCCGACAAAGAAGCTTTATACCATCGTTAAAGAGTCTCTTACCTATTAAACATGTTGATGCAGAAATTTGGCTTCTTAAGATTCTGTCAATATTTACACCAATCTTCTAGAATAAAGGAATCGACGAGACCTACAAAACAAAATAACACTGAGACCGGTGTGGCTTCTACCATACGGACTCTTATGCTTAAGTTATGATTGGAGTAGTTGAGTATAAAGTGTAGGATATTGTGAGTATAGCTTTAGTGTTTGGCTTACTTCCMTATTTATAAAAATTGAATCGTGATCCTCTRGGGATTGTGGAATTCGAATCGTGATACATCTAGAAAATCTGGTTATCTGGGYCAACGTATATTGTTATGGGCCTGTCGTCGAATTAAGAGTTGGGACGCGATGGGTTCGAGTCGGCATGCATCGTGGTCGAGACGGGTTTTCTGGAGTTCTCGGTCGGGGGGTCGAGAACTGCTCGACATCGAGAAGGGTCTCGCTGCCGACCACTAGTCGGTCAGGGGGCCGACTTGGGTCGTCGAGCACCGATCCCCTTTCTGCTTCATGCCTTGTCTGGGCTCTTCCCCAGTCTTCTCTCGCTTCACTGGATCTTCTTTTTCTCCCTATAACAAAACATATTTAATTTCTTATTTTCATGAGAAAGAGATCCATCGATCATATTTGACAAATTAAAAWTTTGATTTTAGGAAAACATAAAATCACTTAAAATTRATTTTTAAGGTATCACTTGGATGGTAATTCTGAAAAATCAATTCARTTAAAATCTGTTTTTTCAATTCTACCCCACTCTCAAATACACCCTTATGGTCTTGGATCCAAAGTTAGCTCAATAGATATGTGATTTGAGATTCAAAAGTGCTTTTAGATTAAAGCACATGATCATCAGCACATTATAAAGTTTTGGCTAACCTTTTTAAAGCTTAAAGATTTTCGTTTGGGTTATTGTTTTTATAAACAGTGTTTACACTCTGTATGGCTTGTGAAAACTGAAAAAGAGGCGAATTTGGTGGGGCAAAAGGATTGAAGGACAGCTCAAATTAAGCATAAGGACCAGATCAGATCTCGTGCTGCGACAAAACCTTGTGGTTTTATGACTCACTGATCTTTATTACCAATCTTCTTTTTATCACCTTTCTTTTCTGGATCATTCTTTTATCACCTTTATTTTCTGGATCATTCTTTTATCACACGTTGTGTTTTCTCTCAATCTAACGTATTAACATCTCTGAACATGTCGATATTTCTATCTATATTTTTAGGAGTGTTAAAAAAATCCGACAACCTGACAAATCCAACTCAAACTATAAAGGTTGGGTTGGATTAGATGAAGTCTCGGATTGGATTGGGTTGTGATTTTTCCAACCAGATCGGATTGGATTGGCTCTCGAATTTAACTTTTAAAAAATCGTGTCAATCCAAACAAATCCGAATTTATGCTATTTTTTAATTATATATATGCATAATTAAAAAAATTCGAGTYGGTTTAAGGTTGACCATCCAATTCAAACTCGCAAATTTGGGTTGGTCCCAAAATCCCTTCTAACCCGACCCAATCCAACCCGTGAACACCCCTATATATTTTTATCGATTCGACGTAAAGACGAGAGATAAATCGACATTTTCATAGTAATGAAAAAAATTCARCGAAATATAAAAGTATAGAGATCATATTAATATTAATTATTTTAAACTTATTGAAAAAGGTTGAAATATATATTCGTTAGTTTAAATATTGTTTTAGGAATTTTTTATTTTTACAATCTTTTTTGTGTCATGATTGAGGCCTCGACATTTCTATATTAATATTTAAARCCTTGCTGTCATTCCTTTTATATATAAACCCCTTTCTTCTCTTCACTCCCTCTTCCTCACCGAACACAAAACTCATCATCTCTCCCTCTCTCAATATGAAGTTCTTCTCCGCTGCAATTTTCCTGCTCGCCCTGCTGCTTCTCGGCACTGGTTTGTTTATTTTTCCT